TCGGTTGCGAAAATTGAAGCAAATAATTAATTGTAATTTGCCTTTGCACCTAAAAATACAAATGACTATTTCAATTAATAATTAATATAATTAAAATCCATCAATTAATCCCTTACTGTATTTAATATTTGTGATGTTGCGTCACGCCAGTTACTCATCCTATATGGATTTTTCACCCATTGCTTGTGTAAAAATTCATATGTTTCCGTTGTGAAGCCATTAATAGTACTATAGTTTTTAATTGCTGCAATAACGTGATAATTCCAATTGTGTAATTTTGGCAACTGCAGTTGTAAAGGGGAAAATGGGAACAGCAATTTTGTGAATCCTTTTGACCATTTAATAATAAGCAACTATAAAAAAATTTGTATATTAGTATCATGTTGTTACATTAGTATGCAAAATTTCATAATTGCATATATACCTTAAAGGTTTTTAGATTTGATTCAGTAAATTCATCCCTGCGTGAAAAAATATACATTTGGTTCCAATCAACATATAATTGAACCAATTGTTTGTCCATATTCTTAGCCTGATTTATGGTGTAATTAGGCTTATATAACATAATAATAATACCATCAACAACAAATACAAGTAGTTGCATCATTGATCGAAACTCTGCTGCTGTAAAACGTTTAATATGACCCAACCCATGTTTAAATAGCTTAAGCCCTAAAAAGTGAGGAATTTTTGCTAATCGGTTATCAAACTCTATTACACCATTCGGACCATACCACTCCACTAGCAATTCTTGTGTATATTTAACTTGATATTTATATAAGCCTAAATCTAAATGGTGCATTCAATCAGGCATACAAGCCTGATATATGTTAAGTTGCCTAGAACATGAAAATATAGTTAAATTCTAAATACATACAATATAATATAGAATTAAATTAATAATACTTACGGTAATTTCCAGAAAATATTTTCTATGTTGTGTAGTGAGTATTCTGTATTAGTATCATTTCTTAACACATTTTGCATCGTTTCAGGTGTGCGTAATTAGATCATTGATTGATCTATTAATGGATTGTTAAAGTCATTTTTTGGTGTTATACACGAATAATACGGCATTTTACAGTTAGCCGAATTAAATGTCAATATTATAATATGGTGTTCAGGCAGATCTCTGAGTAATTCGGATAGAAATGGATAACACCACAACATGCCATCATTAGTACATAAATCAATACCTCCCATTGACCCTGATTTGATAGGTTCGATGAGAACTTCCATTAAGTGTTGAAAAAGGTAAAGTTTTACCATGGTAAAGTCTGACTGTTTTTTATATTCTTCATTTATCTTGATTCTAGATAAATACGCCAACAAAACCTTCGCATCTAGTTTACTTCGATGCCAATTCGGGATGTTGCCTAATGTTAGATATATTGGATGTTCTGATGTCTTTCCGAGTACATCACATGTTGTAGCATCTGAATAGAGGATTATAGAAAGCACCTTAGCACCTTCACTGATTGATACCTGAGCCTGACCCACCACTCACTATCGTATTGTTCTTTGTAACACCTCTCATTTTCACCCCTATCATTTGTTATATAATTCGGCATGTAATCGAATACGCAGTATTTGAATATATCTGCATTACTTAACAACTCTTTGATGGTATCGTAAATTATTCGATGATGAAGTGTATATTGTATTTGATTGTACTCTATAATGATCGTTTTTCTATAGAGAATGTGGAGAATTTGAATAGAATCTAACAATTTTTGGGCCAATTTAGCATTTGAAGGTAAAATTGCTGCTGGATCTATATGAAATAGACGAATAATGTCATTTTCTACAGAATCGGAAAGGCGATGTTGGGTAAGCAGTTGTACAAATGCTTCATATACTGGATTCAGAAACGATGGTATTGTATTATTTATTTCTTGAAATTTTTGAGCTGACCTAACGTCTACAATGGTCGAAATAGATGGACTTTTGTCTTCTGTAAGCCATAACAGAATATAATCATGCACCTGATTCTCAACGAGGGCCTCGTCTTCTCCATCCTCATTTACTTCGCCATGAATTTCACTTCGATTTTCTTCATCTTCATCCTTATTTACTTCACCATCAATTTCACTTCGATATTCTTCTTCATTTGTATTGCCATCGAAAAAAACCTCATCCTATAATTCACATTATGTTGTTAGTTATTTATTGCAATATACGAAATATGGAAAATACGTATTATGACAAAATTTACATAACTTGTTCAATGTGACATTGATTATCTTCCTCTGATGTATCTTCCTCTGATGGATTCGTAAGGTAATTAGTTGGAATAGGCGTTAAAACGTTTTCTTGAAAGATATTTTCAATGGTAATTAGCGTAATCTCATCCATATTAACACTAATATTGCGAGAGAGTTCATTTTCGTCTAGATACATCTGGTCTCGATATGATCGAAGATGGTTTCGAAAAGCACCACGTCTACTAAATGACTGCGGACAATAATCATATTGAAATACATTTTTATTTTTCATTGAAATATTTGTTGATGTTTTTTTCATAATTGTTGGTGAGAACAAACGATTTTCATCAGATTATATAATAATTTTCACATGATAGACGCACAGTCCCTATACGCACGGACCCAAAATGAGTTAATTCATGTGATTCTTATCCAAATAGTCGATTTTAATAATAATGACTTATATAAATACTTTAATTAATACAAAAAATATACTTTATTAATCAAACTTTTTTTACAGAAAGTATATTTCGCTAAGTAAATAGTTGGTTTTATCTGCAATAAATTATTTAATCATTTGGAGTTTCGTCTTTACTAAACTCAAATTTTCGTCCAAAATATTTTTTTTATCTTAATGTTTATACCATGTCACCTTCTACCCAACACAACATCAAGAAAATCACAATACCTAAAGAAAACCCTTTAAACGATACTCTTGCAGCGCTTGCACCTATTAGAACTACTCATCAGCTTTGTTCTGCTTCTCGTTCTAATCTACTTAGAGCTAGCACTTCTCAACCAAACAAGTCAAATTCTAAGGTGATGAACAGGATATAAGTTAGACAAACATGATATTATATTTTTAAGTATAAAGAAGATAAGCGAATATTGGATGACTACATAGATTAATATTCTATGAACTTTATTCATTATTGCTAAGATATAATTTTTGAAAACTATTTATATCATTATCGGTGGTCACTATGACTAATGGATTTTTATACTAAAAAGGATGGCAATGGACATAAGAAATATAGAATGCAGCGTGACTCTGACTTTCTGAGCTCTCTGAACTCTCCGAGCTCCAATTGAAGGCCGTAGAAATTACGGTATCATCTCCAAAGAAATTACCGGCTAAAGCAAGAGAAGATTTTAATGTAGGAACTTCAAAAATTGATATGACCAAAAAAAGTCATGGGTTGAACCCTTTGCCTATAGTTAATAAAACTTATGGATCGAAAGTAATGTTGAATAACATTAATGCATATTTAGTTTTCATATATGGTCTGATTGATATTACATTATGTCCTATATTTATTGAATATTTCAGAATAATATCAACACAATGAATAAACGTCGTGAATCAATGATCGAAGAGCAAGGTTACAAGCGGAAGAGCGATGTTGATATCAATGATATAGCAAAATGTTAGTATAGTGCAATCTAATTTATTGCATATTCTTCACAGGAGCTCAAAAACTTATAAAAGCTCGGCGTAATGAGGATTTTCCTAGAGTGATGCAACAACTAAGCCTATACAAATTATGGACATTTTAATGATAATAAAACTCATCACAAAATTTTGACTGATGCTCGGGAAATGATTCGGATATCTGGACAAGCTATTGGATATTTCTGATATAACAAAATTTAATCATTCACATTTACTAATGTGCTGTGCTTTTTGGCAAGAAATATTGACATAATTATTTTTTCAGAAGATAGGATGCACATTTACATTTGCTTTACTTTTTACATGGTTGACAAAATTATACAATACCACATATCTTTATAGATTCGAAAGGCTTATGTTAATGGATCATGTTTTCTCTATATATACTGTAATACCTCAGCTTAATGAGAAAGATGCTATCGTATTGAATAAGGCTATGCAATATTTCCAGAAGGCATTTGATAAAGCTCTCAAGACCAAGGAAACGGTACTTCATATTGAGGCTGTTATAAACGAATTTATAAAAGAACAAAAGGCATCTAAAGATCTCGATATGGAATCGAATGAATGTCCTATGGATTATAAAAAAATGTCTGGTAAAAACACACGAAAGAAGACATTTTAGTATAATGTAAGTATTATTATATTTTGATTACTTGTTTTAAAATCCATTTTTCTTATTTATTATACTTATCTATTTA